TCCAGAATACCACGGAGCAGTACACAACAAAACATAGAGATGACTAGGACAGTCTGATCAGCTCTCAAAGAAAAAGACCACCGATTGGCTCTGAACCTGTCCTCATAGAGGAATGACTAGGGACAGCATCTCCTCTAACCATTTCCAAAGAAGGAAAGCCAAATGCTCTTGAAATTAATGGGAAGAAAATGTTCCGATCAGACGAAGAATTACATGAAAAACACAAGCTGGAAATGTCAGGCCTGAACGTACAACATACATATCAAAATGCAATGGATGGAATCAGGGCCAGAGTGTAGAAAAAGAGGAAGGATCAGATTACATGCCAATCAACAGAAAGGTACAAGTTGAAGAACAAAAAGAAGGGAAGAAGCTGGAAGCTAAATGAATGGAGCCTCAGAGATGTGTGAACCAGAGCAAGAGTCCTAATGTTTGGGAGCCTGAAATGCTGGGGGGGGGGAATGGGAGGGGGGGACAGTGAACAACAAAATCCATAAAGAATCCAATGGCCAGGGAGATCACCCTTTTAGGAATACAATCCAAGTAGCTCAGAAGCATTACAGGGACTTGTGAGCAATGCACAAAAAAGGAGAAATCTTGAAATCAGAGCCAATGGAACCCTCCCAACGAGGGAATACCCACATGAGAGGGTTTGACTTCTCATCAGAAAACACAAAGTCCACAGGATACTAGAACCCTGTCCTCCAAGTGTGGAAAGAAAAGACCTCCCCAGGAATCTCCAGGGAACCAAGACACCCTGAAGGATCTCAGCCCCCTATGCAGAAAAAGGAGGGGTGATGGACAAGAAGGAATACTAAGAGCAGTCATCAGAAGACCACTTGCTATCAAAACAGCACCAAGTGGATGGAATTCTTCAGGCTAAAGTGAAATCCTGCCCACAGGAAGTCTGGTACATCAGGAGTAATGAAGAGCAGGAGAAACGTTAAGGATTTAAATCACTGCTGGCTGTGTTTTCGCCCTTAAATTCTCTAAACGGCATCTGCAGAACCCAAAACAGAAAGCACAGACTCAGAGGGTGAGGCTCCATTTGTACAAAGGTCACACCAAGGGGAACAGTCACAACAGAGCAGAGGGTCAAAGAATCGTGCGGCCCTAAGGTTTCATTACTCTGCCGAACAGGAAGAAAAGGGACTCTAATCAGATGGGAAAAGCAACAGGACCCACAGTGCTATGCCCAGAACAACTGAAACACAAAGACACGCTCTAGGAAAGCTGGATGTGGGCCGGCATCATGGTGCAATGTGCGATCCCACACCCTGAGGCACTTGCAGCTCCCTGCTAATGTGCCTGAGAAAGCAGCAGAGGATGGCCCAAGTCCCTGCACCCCTGTACATGTGAGAGACATGGAGGAAGCTCCTGGCTTTCTCCTGACCTGCCCTGACTGTGGTGGCAACATGGGGAGAGAACTGGCAGATGGAGGATCATTCTCTCTCTAATTCTGTCATTCAAATAAATTTTAAAAAAAAATTTTTAAATAAGAGGATGAAGTTGGGTCACCTCAGGATCTAGATCTGGGAATGGAGCAGCAACAGATTGATAAACAGGTCTTTGTGGAAATCCAACTTGGCGTTTCCCCAGAGAACTCGCAGGAATGGAATCTCAGTTATATGGTCAGCATGTCTCTCCCAGCCTACCTGGCCCAAAACTATGCTGCCAGCACCTCAGGCTCTGAGGGGCACATGCATTTCTGCCCTGAGGGCTCTCTCCTCAGTGTTTCCAGGACAAGGGAAGGAGGACCCACACTGGGTGACACCAATGCGGCCATAGCCTACAGGACCTGCTTGCCAAGAGACCGCTCCTAGCACTCACCCACCTGAGGGTCAGGGATCGGGCAATGGGTCCTGCCCAGTGCCCTGAGGGCTCTAGGCCCTGGAAAAGCACTGAGGGGGCCACCGCACTACCAACAACTCATGATGCTCAATACAGACACCCTCTGCCCTCAGTAGGAGCCTGGAGGGACACAAGAGTCCAGAGGGGATCGGCAGCCTTTGCCGGGGCCACTTCCTCCTGTGTCATCTGCACAGTGAGCAACTCCTGAGTTGGCAAACTCCTTGGCAAAATCCTTCCCTAGCCTGTGCCCTCGACACACCCATTTCCAAGCCCTGCTCTCTATAATGCGCACCCATACCAGCAGATTTTGTGACAAGTGCCCATTCTATGATGACTAATCTTCTGTATATGTGGCCTTTTGGCCTTAGCCCTTCAGAGAGATAGCAGCCAAAAGTGCTTTGGGAAATCTACATAGTATAGAGACTCTCTAGCTTCCTGTCAAAAATTTTGGGGAGCAAATTTTGCCCCCCTCACCTGCCCCAGCAATGGGGGCTGACCACTGACCTAAGGGGCCCCTAGGTCCAGGTTGGGTCACACTCCTGCCTCTGGCCCTGGATAAGTTGGTCCACGGGCAAAATACCATAGGTCTTACAGACCAAAAGTCAGACAACCCAATCTGATGCTGAGAAAACTCAAGGCCATCGTGGCACTGCTGACCACTCTCTGCGGGCTTCAGACTCGACAATGCGTGTGCTCCAATAGAGTGAACATCGGCAAGGCCAGGATGCCACCACCCCCTAAGCCAGGTAACCTGATCATCATGGAAATCTGAAAGCCTTGTAGGGGAGGTGTGGTAGAAGTGCGGGGAGCACGTGTGTGCGCAGTGCTGTGGTGCAGTGGGCTCAGCCACTGCCTGCAACACCAGCATCCCAAAGGAGTGCTGGGTTGAGTCCCAGCTGCTGCACTTCCAACCCAACTGCCTGCTAATGTACCTGGGAAGGCAGTAGAACATGGCTCAAGCACGTGGCCAGTTTGGAAGGCACTGGTGAAGTGCCAGACCCCTGTCTGGCCAGCTATCATGTCAGCTGTGGTGGCCATTTCAGGGTCAAATCGGCATATGGAAGCTTCTTTTTGATTTCTCAATCCTCAAATCAACCTTTACACATAATTCATTTGTAACAGAAAGCAAAAGCACTTTGGGAGGTGATGCTGAGGTCACCCAGGTGCACAGCAGTACACATCCTTCCTGCATTTTCCCTTCTAGGACCTGTATTGACTACACCTGATCCTACCAGACGAACCGGCAATGGAAGGCAGAGGAAGCAAACCTGCGAAGTACATCATCCAATTATCCAGGCTATGGACACTTTATCCCCCTGATACTCCTCCACAGGAGGAAGCCATGGATAGCTGTCCCCCTATACTCCCCAATGGGGAGTATCAAGGGACGTATCACCCCCATATGTTCCCTGAAAGTCGAGAGCTATAAACAACTCATCCCTCTCTGCTCCCCTACAGGAAGAAGTCATGGACACCACTCCTCCATACACGCCACCTGGGGAAGAGGAGCCCATGGACCCCCCGCCCCCATAAGAACCCTCTTGGCTGGAACCAATGGACACCATGCCCCCGTATGAACCTTCTGGGCCGGAACCGATGGATACCACACCCCGTTATGTACCATCTTGGCCAGAACCCATGGGCACCATGCCCCCATATGTACCATCTTGGCTGGAGCCCATGGACACCACATCCCCATATGTGGCATCCTGGCTGGAGCCCTGGACACCAAACTCCCATAAGAACCATCTTGGGCAGATCCACACCTCCCCATGTTCCACCAAGGGAAGAGCCCAGGGACACCACACTCCCAACATTCCACCATGGGAGGAGCCTATTGACCCACACCCACTTTGTTCCCACATGGGAGGAGTCCCTGGACACCACAACCGCCTAAGCTCCACCAAAGGAGGAACCAATGGATACCACAATCCCATAGGCTCCTCCTCCAGAGGAGCCCATGGACACAACACCAACCTACACTCCCCCTCCAGAGGAGGCCATGGACCCTTCACCCCGTAGTTTCCAGCATAGTCCATGGAAATGTCAACCATGTCTCCTGCCCTCTGTTTTCCTCCCGCTGGTCCCAGGGGCAGTTTTATGCCTGGCCTTCCCACCTTTCCTTGCATCTTCATACCCAGTTTCCCAGCACCTATGGATATAGACCCTCCCGTGTGACCCTTCCTCCCTCCCCTCCAGGACATGGCACAACTCTGCTCCCAGGCAGCTCCTTTCATGGCCTCCAGCTGGCTCCTCACCACACAAGATTCTTATTTAATATTAAACACCATAATCATTCTGTTTTTTGTGTCTGTGCTCTGTAGATCCAGTGTGAGAAATGCTGGCTTGTGTGAGTGCTGACAGGAGGTCAGATCCTATGGGAAAATGTTCTTGTGGTGCAAGAAACAGGGGCTGGAGGGTTGGGGGCTAGGGAGTAGAAGGAGCCAAAGGCCATAATGACTTCCTCCTGAGCAGAAAAGCTGTGGCTCATGGGCCAGCACCTGTGCCGGCATAGTGGGTGAAGCTGCGGCCTGCAGTGCTGGCATCCCATATGGGTACTGGTTCAAATCCTGGGAGCTCTACTTCTGATCCACCTCTCTGCTATGGCCTGGGAAAACAGTAGAAGATGGCCCAAGTCCTTGGGCCCCTCTACACATGTGGGACACATGGAAGAAGCCTCTGGCTTCTGGCATTGAATCAGTAGAGCTCCAGCCTTAGGAGCCATTGCAGAGTGAACCAGTGGATGGAAGAACTCTCTTTCTCTGCCTCTTCTTCTCTCTCTCTGTAACTCAGACTTTAAATATATGAATAAATCTCTAAATGAAGGAAAAAAACAACAAAAGCTGTGGCTGAACATAAGGGATGGGGCCCAGGATCAATGAGCCCAGGAAGGGAGGAGACAGGAAGGGTCATTCTTGCTGTGGCAGCAACCACTTCTCACCTCCTCTCTGGGCTGCAATTGGCCGGATCTCCGCTCACACACCAGCAGTTTACACTCTACACGTTCACACCTGGTCCCTTAGGGAAATCTACACTCAAAGCCCAGCCAGAAAGCACACATCTGGCATTGAAGCTCCCTGGCCACGAAGAACAGAAGAAGAAAACTCATCACTCCACAATAACCAAGGACAACCATAACTGTAGGAAGTCACTGATTCCCGGGTGATCTGATTGTCAACATGTGGAGATGTCCTCCTTGTTGCTCTTCCATTCAGATCTGGAAAGGGGAAGCAAAGAGACAATTTTCAGGGAAAACAAGTTAAGTTAGAGTCCCTTTTTCCAAAAAAAGGATTAATTGATTTATGTCTTTTAACCCACAAGTACAAAGCATATCAACAGTCACTCCCAGCCATGCCACAAGACAAAAGCTGAACACCTGAATTCACCAACTCATCTTGTATCCTACAGAAAAGTGAGGTCACTTGCAAAACACACCTTCAGAAATTGCCTTGACTGTCAGATACAGAGAATCCCAGCTTAACTGAGCACAGGCCTCTGCTGGGGCTCAAATGAAGGTAGGGAACACAGACTGTAATAGGTCAACTGCTGGGGGCACAATGTGCACATGCTAGAGAGGATAAAACTCCAGGGAGGGGGCAATCTTTTCTAAAAGAAGAGCTAACAAAGTTTTTAAAAATGTATTTTCATTTTATTTGTTAGGAGAGCTGCAGAAAGAGATGGAAACAGCCATACTCAGATCTTCTTTCCTATGGCCCACTTCCCACATGCCTGGAATGCTGTTGTCTTCCTTCTTGCTCTCTCTCTCACACAAATCAAACCCCAAACTGTGCTCATTACCTGGAAATATCTAGGAAATACCTAGTCCCTCATACATGCCAGTGCAGGTGCATCCCATCAATCTGTGGCCTGGAATTTTCAAGACATCAATCTCATCATAATCAAGTCAGGTCTAAGGAGATAGGCATTGCAGTACAATAGATTTGCCATCTGCATGGGACGCCCCCATTCTATATTGGATTTCCTGAGATAGAGTCCCACCATTGCTTCTGATCCAGCTTCCTGCACATGTGCACCCTGGGAGGCCCAGGTGATGACCTCAGTGCTTGGGTTCCTGTCATTCATGTGGGAGCACAGGATGGAGATTCTGGCTTCAGTCAGGCCCAGCCCCTCCTTTGTATTTGGGAAGTGAATTAGCAAATAGAAGGTCTTGAGATCTCATTCTCTCTCTCTCTCTCTCTCTCTCTCTCTCTCTCTCTGTGTGTGTGTGTGTCTGTGTGTGTGTGTGTGTGAGTGTGTGCATGTGAGTGGGTGCGTGTACCTTTCAAAGTAGTAAATGGATTCTTTAAGAAAAACATGAAGAGTCTGAGACTAAATTCTGGATGTAGTGTTGGTACAGAAAACAGACATGTGGGTACAGCTAAGGAATTTGAATAAACTGTGGCCTTTAGTGAATAATAAAGTATCAGTACAGGTTCACTGATGGCAATAAACACACCACACTAAGGAAAGATGTCCATACGAGCTACTTCCGGCAGTTCCTTTATGAAGGGACTTCAAAAGGTCATGGAAAATGCATATTATGAGTAAACTGACACATGGACTTCAATTCTTTCTGCAACAAGGTAAATTCAGCTTTTCTCTCATTTCCTCCCCAAGGAGTCTGAAGTTTTCTCACCTGGTTTCACATTGTGATCTTTTCCTTGCCATTGGGATGCCCATTCACCAAACCACCTTCAGGGCAAATATCTATCAAGACCAAGGCTGGACCTCTCAGGAGCCACTCCCTGAATTCCTTATCACTGCACATGCATCCCACTCACAGGAATTACTACTGTGCTCAGAGGATTCAACCTTCTCTCTCATACTCCCTATTTTCCAGTGCCTGGAATAAAGACCTAAGGACTGAATGCTTTAAGCCTTAGACAACCGCACTGAATGATCCTGGGTACAGACATGGGGACATGTCAAAAACAAAGCACCACCCAGAAAAGCAAGGGCCTGGCTTCACCAGCAAGACACAAGGAGGTCTTAGCTCAGCCCTTAGCACTCGATTCTGTCCATCGTCCTGAACAGTTTCACACCTCTGCACATTTATCCAAACTCATCTCACCCAGGGGCCAACCACTGCTCTCCAGAGCACACAGGAAACCACCTGACACCAGACAACAAAGGCCACACCACAAGGAAGCTGTCATCCCTGAGCAGCTCCTTTGTGTCGAGGCTCTGCAGGCACACCACCTTCAGTTCCTCCTCCCTCCCACCTCACTGACAGGAGGGTGCAGTTACAAGTTCAGCTGACAGATAAGAGTTTGGATTCCAGACCCCCACCATGAGATAAGTACTTGGTGGCTCTGGGCCTCAGTGTCCCACATGTCCACTGGGGCTACTAACAGTCTCTGCAGTACAAACAGCTGCTGCCTGAGCTCTGCTGCTCCCATTGCTATTCCCATCCCACCCCCATTTGAAAGAGGAAGGAAGGAGAGGTCCTAAGATCCTGGCTCACAGCTTCTGATCAGCCCAGCTCTCACCAGTGTGACCATTTGGGAAGGGAACCAATAGATGGAGCATCTCCAGTGGATGGAGTATCTTGGGATCACCCCAACACCACCACCACCCCTTAATATTACTGTGCCTCTCAGACAAATAAATAAAATCTTTAGACAGAGATCAAGATGCATCTCTTCTGCAGGTTCACCCTGCAAATACCCACAGCAGCCCAGTTGTAGCCAAGCCACAGCCAGCAGACATGAAGGCACTCTGGGTCTCTTACCTGAATCACAGGCAACCAACAGCACCCAGTACCACCTGCTGCCTCCCAGGGTGCACATTACAAGAAAAGGTCTCTCTTTGCCACCTGATTTATCTTCCTCACTTGTGACATGGTCATAATAATAATATCAACCTCAGAGAGATTCTACGATACTTAACTCCATTTGTGGTGGTTGTGACAAAAAAATACTTCTCATGATACAGTATTGAGTCAAAGCCCAACAGAAAACACACATGAGGAATGTGCAGGGAGACAGAGTTGCGAGAGAGGAAGAGAAACCTCACATTTACCCAGGAAGGTGGCTGCCTTCAGCCCAGCGAGTGTGAACCAAACCTGTTTTTGGTCACACATACACCTGTCCACTGTCTACTGGGATGTAACTGTACTACATCCTGTGAGGGCTGAAGCCCACCCTTGGGAATTGGAAACCCACAGATGTTTTCTCCCTTAGGTGTCCATCCTGAGCCATATGAAATCTATTGGAATTCTCTTCACAACAGAGTAACTCTTCTAGCGTAACTTCATAATTCTTTGTTACCTTGTCCTAACTGAAATACTGTATGAGTTCCTGGATGTCTTAACTGAGTGACTTTTCCCCTTCGTGCCTATCTCTGTTTGTATTTCTTGCACAAGAGTTATTAATAGAGGATGGTGCTGTGGGAGAGAAGGTAAAGCCTCCACCTGGTGGGGTCAGCATCCCATATTTTTCCAGTCTGGGCTGCCTCGCTTCTGATCCAGCTTCCTGCTAATGGCTTGGGAAAAGCAGCAGCAGATGGCTCAAGTACTTGGGCCCCTGCATCCACGTGGGGGATCTGGATGAACTCCTGGCTCTGCGCTTTGGCCTGGCCCATCCCCTGCTGTGTGGCCACCTAGGGGTGCACCAGTGGATGAAGGTCTCTCTCCTTCTCTCTCTGTATCTCTGCCTTTCAAAAAATAAAACCTGTAAGAAAAGTGTTATTAATAATTCCTCTGAACTAACTCAGAAAATGAATTCCCACTTATTTTACCTAAGGGTTGAGAATCACCATTCCACAAAGTTGGATAATCAGTAGGTTTGCTTAGAAATTACATTGCATTGGGTCAATCATTTTTTATGAATCACCTTGCTCCTAAGGTTGAGCAATGATTAGAAAGAATAAAGGTTATTGTTGGCTTTTTTATCCATCCTTTAAATGTGAAACAATTCATGTGCAAAAGGAACATAGTTGAAGCTCCTGTTATATCTCCAACCAGCTCTCATGTTTCCTGTTCCCAACTACTGTTTCTTCAGTCAGTGCTGCACCATGCCTGTCCCCACCCCAGCTGCTCTGTGGGATGACTTATGTATAACTGAACACTCTCCTCAACCACCTCAAGGCTAACACATTGGAGAAACAAACTGATCTGTCCATGGGGGTAGGGGACTTGCAAGGATCAACCCAATAGTTGATTCAAATGGAGAATGAATGATGCTGGGGAAGGCCCATGCTGCAGAGTCAATTCTGTGTTGACTTGAAGTTGTCAGGATTTACTATTTCAATTCTCCATGAAACCCAGTCATCACTAATCCCAGGGATTACAAACCAAACTGTCACTGTGAGGGAATGTGGAAATGACCAAAATGTGGATGCTGTTGAGCCTCCCCTGGGGTTCTCTCCATGGCTGGCACACTCAGCAGTACACAGGGAACACAGCAGAGCAGCCAAAGATTCACATCCATACCTGAGTCTCTTGTCTTGGGGTGCAGAGATTAAAAACAGTGAGACTTTTGAGGTCCAATTAGGAATATTTAGTGTCCAGCTGGTGACTGCCCTCTCAGAGCAAGTCTGGAGAAGACATCAGAGAGTTGCAGGGGCAGAGAGTCTGTAAAGGCAAAACCTACTTTTTATCAGTCATTTAATTACATGTGCAGGATTGTGCAAGCAGGACTCAGACATACAGAAGCGAAAAGCACTTAGCCAATCAGCCAGTTTCTTTGTAACCTTATTGAAAAATGTAAAGATTTAATTATTTGATTGTTCCCAGTCAGGCTCAAACATGGTGCCATTGACCTTGGTGCCACCTGTGTGATCTTGTGGTTGCATCCAGGACAAGACAGGTTAAACAGTAGTCTGGTGGCCTTGGCCATTATCAAGCAAGCGGAGGAACAGAAGCCAGAAATGGGAGGAGGGCAAGATGGCAGAATAGGAAGGGAGCACATCAATACTCCGGGAAAGGACAGTTTAATAAAAGTGGAGATACTGCAGGTTCAAGGAAGAGTTAGGGAAGAAACAGCAGAGGAGACTCTTACGGAACTACTGGTTCATGGTGGACCTACATGGAGGGAGGAATCAAAATGAAATGCAGGAACTAGTACAACAGGAAATTGTGATAGTGAAGAGAAAATGAAATGAAATGAAGAATTCAATACATCAAATGACAAACACATTGGAGAGCCTTAAAAACAGAGTCAGTGAAGCAGAAGAGAGAATATCGGACTTAGAAGACAGAGCACAGGAAAGTTTACAGTCAAACCAAAGAAAAGAAGAGGAAATTAGAAATCTAAAAAATATTGTTGGGAATATACAGGATATATTTAAAAAAAAAAAAAAAAACATTTGAGTTCTAGGAGTTCCTGAAGGCATGGAAAGAGAGAGAAAGGATTAGAAGGCCTTTTTAGTGAGATACTAGCAGAGAACTTCCTGGGTTTGGAGAAGGACAGAGACATCCTAGTACAGGAAGCTCATAGAACCCCCAATAAACATGACCGAAAGAGATCCTCACCACTACACGTTGCAATCAGACTAAACACAGTGAAACATAAAGAAAAGATTCTAAAATGTGCAAGAGAGAAATGTCAGATTACTCTCAGAGGATCTCCAATCAGACTCACTGCTGAATTCTCAGGAGATACCCTACAGGCTAGGAGGGAATGGCAAGACATAGCCCAAGTGCTAAGAAAGAAAAACTGCCAGCCCAGAATATTATATCCTGCAAAACTCTCATTTGTGAATGAAGGTGAAATAAAGACCTTTCATAGCAAACAGAAATTGAAAAAATTGGTCGCCACTCATCCAGTCCTGCAAAAGATGCTTAAAGATGTACTACACACAGAAACACAGAACCACGGCCATCAATATGAAAGAAGGTCAAGGAAGAAAACCTCACAGTAAAAGATCACACGAAGTTCAAAGCATATATTAGAAAATATCTTTGGGAAAATGGCAGGGCAAAGTTACTACTTATCAATAGTCACATGGAACATCAATGGCCTCAACTCTCCAGTTAGAAGACACAGATTGGCTGAATGGATTAAGGAACAAAACCCATCGATTTGCTGCTTACAAGAAACACATCTTTCCAACAAACATGCATGCAGACTGAAAGTGAAAGGCTGGAAAAAGATATTCCATGCCAACAGAAATGAAAAAAGAGCAGGCATAGCCATCTTAATATCAGACAACATAAACTTTAACACAAAAACTGTTAAGAGAGACAAAGAGGGGTGCTATATGATTAAGGGATCAATTCAACAGGAAGATAGAATGATTATCAATGTATATGCACCTAACTACATGGCACCAGTTTATTTAAAAGATATGTTAAGGGACTTCAAGGGAGACTTAGACTCCAATACAATAGTACTGGGGGACTTCAATACTCCACTCTCAGAAACAGATCAACCGGACAGAAGATCAACAAAGAAACAGTAGATTTAATTGACACTATTGCCCAAACGGATCTAACAGATATCTACAGAACTTTTCATCCTACACTTAAAGAATTGACATTCTTCTCAGCAGTGCATGGAACCTACTCTAGGATTGACCACATACTAGGATATAAAGCAAGTATCAGCAAATACAAAAGAATTACAATCATACGATGCAGCTTCTCAGACCACAGTGGAATGAAGTTGGAAATTAGCAACTCAGGAATCCCTAGAGCATACGCAACCACATGGAGACTGAACAACATGCTCCTGAATGAACACTGGGTCATAGAAGAAATCACAAGAGAAATCAAAAACTTTCTGGCAGTAAATGAGGATAACAGTACAACATATCAAAACTTATGGGATACAGCAAAAGCAGTGTTAAGAGGAAAGTTTACAGCAATAGGTGCCTACATCAAGAAATTGGAAAAGCACCAAATAAATGAGCTTTCAATGCATCTCAAGGATCTAGAGACACTGCAGCAAACCAGACCCAAATCTAGTAGGAGAAGAGAAATAATTAAAATCAGAGAAGGCGGCGGGTCCCAGCGGCTCGAGCGGCGGGAGGAGCAGCAGCAGCCAGGCAGCCCAGCTCCGTGAAGGCTCTCAGCATGCTGCGGCCTGCAGGCACCCGACAC